ATAATAAAAAATGATCACAAAATGACTCCATAGTTTTAATAATATGCTCAGATTCATGTTATGATGGCTGAATAATTAACAGAATTAAACGAGCATTCGTTTTGGTGTATGATGCAAACATTGTCAAGTCACATTTTAATTTCATACTTGCCGCTTCAGCTTATGCCATGTTCTTAGTTAGCACCGGTTTATTAAGCGGCTAATGTATCTGTTGTTGTGATGGCCTCTGGAAAGCTGCTTCCTAAATAATAGAGCAGTGATCCATAACCACCCCCCATAGAACAGCACTGAGTCCACTGCAGCTAATAGGAAAGGACTGCCGGTTGCTAGGTGCCAAAATGCTGCTTGCCTATTTAGGAAGTGATATAGTTTTGTCTCCCTGCTAAGATGACAAAACTGTAATTAGAGATTAATCAAGAGCTACATTAGTGCCACCGTTTCCTGCAGTCTGACTTTTGTTGCCCACCAGCAGTTAAGTGCATCTGCCTGTATTTACCAGTTCTCTGGAGATTTAGAAATTTATTGTCATATTTACAGGAACAGCTGCCGTGCAAGTTGTCAAATCATAAAGAACTAACTCAAGAGAATGCATATAATTAACTCCTCTGTCTTTTGTCTATTTATTTTTAAAATGAGGCTTCATTGACAAAGGATTAAATAACTTATTATATAACTAGCTGGGGTATTTTTTGTTGTTGTGCTTGGATTTTTGCAATTTTTTTATTAAAACATTTTAATCATTTCTACAATGATTTATGCTGAATGAATACAGATCAATTCAGATGCTCAGAGTGAGAGGAACACATGCTGGTAGCAATGGAAACTTGCATCTGGGGATTATTGTATGAGCTGAGCTAGCTTGTATATATACTATATCATTGAGTTCTAGGCTACCACGACTTTCTTAAGAAAAAAATAGTGCTAATAATTTTATTTAACTCATTAAATTTTATTTGCAATTTATTTATAATCTTGCTATAGCTATTCCTTAGGATAATATTTTCCTAATATTCATTTATGCTCTTTTAAATTTTTTCATATAAGGTAGTATTTTTCAAATAGTCTTTCAAATACTAATCAGAACTTTTGAGTGTGTGGCGGGGGGAGGGATAGGATCTGATACTCTTAGATACTGGTTTCTTTGTCTTAGTTAATTGCTATAGCAAACTGAGTGCCTAAACTCACATAATTAAAACATTTAACTTAAATTATAAACATAACTAATACTAAATAATGATCACCTTAACATTTTAATCTTTACGCTTAACATACAATCATTTTAAAATCCAAAGAAAGCCAAAATATAGTATTTGTGTTTTACTGCTTTAGTTGCATCCAAAAAACATGCTACACATACATAAAAGTAATGGAAAATAATGTCCATTAAGAAAACACCACATAAGTACATATATTCACATAGATATACATATGAAAAGTTAACAGTTGAAACATTCATATGTGAATTATTTGTGCTGAATGAAAGTCAAGTTTCACCATTGTAATTCTTCAAGTTTTCAGCAGAATTTAATTCCTCAAACTTAGTTGTTGCAGGTCATTCAAATGTTCATTTGTCAATATAAACGATCCCCATTAGATTCCATGTATAACATTTTTATCATTTTTAAAAATATAAGCTAGTACAAAATGAGGTGAGGTTTTTTTGCCCAGATTTTTAATTGCAATAATGTGCTTCAAATTTAAAATATTCTTAAACACGCATTTCACTAAGTTTGAGGTTCAGCTCCACAGAAAAGAAGCATTACTTTTTCACAGCACTTCCTCCTTCTCATTCTCCCTATAAAGAAGAAAGAAAAAACATCTTATAAATGCTTCTATTTTCACATAGCAATACAGATACACATTCAAATGTGCTTAGATTTAAAAATTTGTTGAAAAGGCTTTAGAATAAAAATGTTAAAGTATTATAACTGCGCCAACATCAAGTCAATTCTGTCCCATAGTGACTCTGCAGGACAGAATAGAACTGCCCCTGTGGGTTTGGGGCGATGAACTCTTCGTGGGAGTAGGAAATATTGTCTTTCTCCCCAAGGAGTGGCTAGTGGTTTCAAACTGCTGGCCTGGTGGTTAACAACTCAATGTAACCACTGTACCACAAAGAATTCTAGAAAAACTCCTAGAACTGTCCCTGCGGGTTTCCTACTCTGTAACTCGAATGGTAGTAGAAAACCCCGTCTTTCTACATGGGAGCAGCTGACCCTTTCAACCTGCCCATCTTACAGGTGACAGTCAAATGTATAACCATTACGCCACATCAAACAGTATCAAACACAGATAAATAATGATTTGTAATATAGCATGTCAAAGTTTATTCCAAAGTTTAAGTGTTTGTTTTCTGCTCATTCTAATGCGATCAGCTACTTTATATTAAAGGAAAAAACTTTATGTTAAAGAAATAGAAGAAAAGGAAATGATGAAATGTGGCCTTTGTTGCACGAAGGGCCTGAGGGCCTGAATCGGGAGCTAGAATTGCACATGCAGCTACTTGTGCTTGCAGGGAGAGACATCAGTGCTCAATGGCGAGCCGAAGACTGGCAGGAGATGAAAAGCTTCTCCATTTTCTTAAAAAGCTCAATTCAGCATTTCGCCAATAATTTTATATATTTGCAAATAATGTGGAATTTTAATTGCCAACAAAATGGATTCTTAGTGGAAATATTAGCGATTTCCAGGACAATCTTACACCAGTGTATTTTGCCTTTGCCATTGTTAACTGACACTGAAATTGATCTACTCATAGCGACTCTACTTACAAGAGAACCAAACGCTGCCCAGCCCGGAATCATCCTCACAATCAGGGTCATGTTGAAACTCATTGTTGCAGCTACTGTGAAAATCCATCTTCTTGATACAGTGCCTCCCTTTTACTGACCCTCTGCTTTATGGAGTATAATATTCTTCTCCAGGGACAGGCACCTTCTGAGAACCTAGTGTGCAAGATACCCTAGGTGAAGTCTTAATGTGCTTTCTCTTAAGGGGAATTCTAGCTGTACTTTTTCCAACCCAGATTTGTTAGTTATTCTGGTAGTCCTTAATGTATTCAATACTCTTTTTGCTAACATCATCATTCAATTTTATCAACACTTCTTTTAGATTCATTATATGCTTTCAGATATGTTTGTGGGGATTGCAATAAGATAGCTTGGGTCAGGCCACCTAAGTCCCAATGTGACAATTTTGCTTTTGAACACTTTACTCTTTGTAGATTTACCCAGTTAAATGCATACTTTGATTGTTTGACTTATGCTTCCAAGGCTATTCATTTGGATCCAAACCAAACTCCAAACTCACTACCATCTAGTCAAAGCCAACTCACAGCGACTCTATTGGAAAGGGTATAACCACCACAGTAAGTTTTGAAGACTGTAACTCTAAGGTAGCAGAAAGTTCTGTCTTCCGATTGAGGATTACCTGGTGGTTTTTAATGGCTCACCTATGGCTACTGGCCCAACGTGTACCCACTATGAGCCAGGGCTCCTTTATGGATCCAAAGAAAATGAAATTCTTGACAACTTCAATATTTTATCTGTTTATGATGCTGCTGCTTATTGGTCCAAGTCTAAGGAAATTTTGCTTTCTTAATGGTTAGGTAAACTCCATAATGTCTTTGATCTTCATCACTAAGTGCATCTACTCCTCTTCAATATCAGATGTCAAAGTTGTCATCTGCATTCTACAGGCTCTTAATAAATCTACATTACAACCCAAATGCACCCTTTCCTGGCTTTACACTATTCATTATCTCTCTGTTCTTGAAGACTGCCTTTTGGCCTTTCTATTGCTTCTTCATGAGCATAATTAAATGTGCTCAAATTCCCATTCTTGGCAATATTTTCCATAATTTAGTTAACTTAAGAAATTGGCTTTTCATTGCATTTTCAAAGGTAAAATATTGCATTGAAAACTTCACAGAGCACCATTCTGTTCTAACCCCCACGGGGTCCCTTTGAGTCAGAATAAACCCACAACTAGTGATTTTTATACTGAAAATGTTTTTCAGGAGACTCTTAGATCTCCTGTCTCTCTTCCTAACCAGAGGGGAGAAGAGATCATAGAAAGTTAAGCATCTCTCCCACAACAGATTTTGCAAAAGTACACAATGTCTAGGTTTCTAAAGTAGGCTACCCAAACCAAACCACACTCACCATGGCATCAATGCTGATCCAGTGACCCAGAGGGAACCCCAGTTTTTCTCCCAAAGTAGCCTACGAGGGTTTTAAGTTTGTTGTTGTTTTCCTTACCAGTGTTGTTGACTTCAGTACAGCTGATAGCCATACAGATGACTATTTCCATCAGGGTTTTATTTATTTATTTATTTATTTGTGTGGGTGGGTGGGGAGGATTTATTAAAGGCCCTTGCAACACTACTTCTTCTTCTCCACATCCTGCTCTGCAGCCTCCTTGGCCCTTTTCTCTCGGATGCCAAAGAGCTGGACGTTGGCACGGGGCATGCGGAGACTGGCGAAGGCCTTGAAGTCCTTCTCTTCTTGCGTGATAACCCGGGCTTTCTCCTTCTTGTAGACGTTTCAGATGGGCATCACAGGTCCAGTAAGCTGCGTGGCCAGTTTGAGTTCCTCCGCAGAGCTGTCTCCCTTCTTGGGGGCGGAGGGCTTCCTGGGGAAGAGGATGCGCTTGGAGCAGTACTCCTTCAGACGCTGCCCTTTGGCCTGCAAGGACTCAGTGGACTTGTTCTGCCTCCGGGGGTCCACGGAGATGCCCATGGTGTGGGCCACCTTCTTGTGAATGCCGGTCACCCTCAGATCTCCCAGGCTGAAGCCCCCGCCTGCACGGACTTTTGTGTGATAGCACACCGTGGGGCAGTGCACGAAGGACCGGATGGGGCCGGGACATGGGCCGCGGGGCGATGTGGCGGGCTTTAGCTTGTCAGGCCTGGTAGGAGAGAAGGCAGCAGCAGTCACGGGCCTTGCAGGGCGGAATGCTGTTTCCCCAACCCCGCTTCCAGCTGCTTCCACCCCAAAGCCACAGAAGCCCAAGGTCATCATTCTGCAAAGGGTTTAAAGGACCTTTCATCACGGCAGTGCAGCGATTCCGGAGAGTGTCGTCATGTGACCAGGGTTTTAATTTTAATATGAGCAACTTTACCCTTCGAATCTCTATGTTCCACAAAATATATTATTTATTCATATGCCCCAAATCATAGAAAAGCTCTCATTACCATTGGTCTGCATAAAATTGAGCATTCATCCAAACCTACTGTCATTGAATGAATTCTGATCCCTAGTAGCCTTTTAAGAAAGACTGGAACTTCCCCCATATAATTTGCAATCTTTACAGAAGCAGAAGGTATGAAACCATCACAATGTGATGTCAAGTTTGCTCGTTCTTCTATCATTCTATAAACTATACCACTGCATTTCCTTTGTTTAGCTCTTTCCCCTTCAATATGACATCCCAAAGACACTGTTTTCCTAATGAACGTAAAATAAAATGAACATAGAAGCAATACGTAGACGGAACCACGTAGGGCTTTTCTAAACTTTAATTCACTTGTCTTTTTAATCTTGCTATGCTTCCACTTCTCCAACTTAGAAGACAACTATTGATATCCTGGAACTAAACATCATATAAATGAGATCCCATTGATAAATGACTTTTTCCTGAGTCTTTTTGTACATTTATAAAGTGGTTACCATTCCTCAAATTTGAACCATGGCAGTGAACAGATTTTTAACTTTTGGCCACCAGAAGAAAAGTGGTATCTATGGAAACAGAAACATGTGGTCCCTGACAGAGTTTGCATGTGACAGAAATGACATTCATCTCTGTTAAGTAATTCCATGCTAAGATATTATCTTTTTGTCCACTTTCCTGTGATATTGAAATTTGGGAAACAGCAAGTTTGAGGGAAAAGACAGCTCAACCATAAAAGGAAGCAGTGTGTTCTTTAGACACATTTATTATTACTTCCTACCTTGTGGTTCAATGCTTGATTTGCAAATCAGCAAGGAATCGCCTTCCATCCTTGCCTCTCAGGCGCATTCTGGCTGTACTTTCTCCTAAGCAGAGCCATTTGTTTTTTACCAATTGATTGATAGATGATGCTTTCAATATTTTTTGTCAATGCCATAATCCAAATGCATCGATTTTTCATCAGTCTTCCGTACTCACTGTCTAACTTTCACATACATATTGCTAACTTTAAAATGTCAGGGTTTGAGTTAGGTACACTTTAATCTTCAAAGTGACCTCTTAGCTTTTAAACACTATAAAGAAGTCTTATGCTGCTGATTTACCCAATACATGTGTCTTTTAATCTCTTGACTGTTATTTCCATGACCATTGCATGTGGATCCAACCAAGCAAGATGAGATCCTTGACAATTACGTACACGTTCCTGATCTTACACTCTGCTATTGTCCCTTGTTCTGTTCAAACAATTGCCTCTTGACCCATATAGAAGTGTCACATGTGCACAGTGAAGTGTTCTGGAACTTCCATTCTTATCAAGGTTATCCATATTTTATCAAGACCCACACATTGAGGAAAAATATGGCATTGAATATAAATATAGATTTCTGCCAGTCAATTGGCCAAGTAGCCTTCTACCAAATTTCCTGGCATCCACGAGTAAGTGCTTCCAGTGCTTCATAATCCTGTGAAACATTTCAGTTGGTAATCCATCAATTCCTAGAGCCTTGTTTCTGGCTAATGTTTTAAGTGCATGTTGAACTTCCTTCAGTGCCATAGGTCCTTGCTCACATGCTGCATCTTAAAAAAGTTGAATATCAAACTACTTTTTTTGGTACAGTTACTCTGTATTCTGTCTATTTTATTTTAATGCTTTTTGCACCATTCAACATTTTATCCTTAGAGTCTTTCAGTATTGAATCGAAGCTCACATTTTTTTT